CAGCCGAGACCTCCGAGCCCACGTCAAAGAACCTGGGGGTCTTGAGGACCCAGATCATGGCGTTGCTGCCCAGCTCGCTGAAAGTGAGCCGCACTGGCGCGTGCGGGTGCAGGGTTGTGGGCTTGATGACCTCCACCTTCGGGCTGAGGCCAGCGAGCGCCGTGGAGACCACGAAGAAGTCGTAGATCTGGTCGCCGCAGGTGAAGGTCGTGGGCGCTACCACCACTCCGCCCACAGCCCGTGGCCACCAAGAGGCGGCGAGGACGCTGGGGTCCATATTCCAGTCGGCCCCCACTATGAACGGCTCGTGGAGGCTGAGCAGGAACTCCTGGAGGTCCGACAGCAGCTCCAGGTTGTGGCCTGCCATCCTGGTCGAGTGCACGAGGTAGGCGCTGACCACCGTGACCACGAGATCGCCAAAGGCCACCCGTCGGGCCAGGATGCGGGCACTGTGCTGGTGCCAGTCGTGGTCGATCGCCGCCACGCCCCTGGTCGTTGACGCCAGCGCCCCGACTCCCGCCGAGACCGCCTGCGCCGCCTGCCCCGCGCTGTGGACGCTGCCGAAGGCGGCGCTGAAGCCGTTGCGCCTGGCCCAGCTGCAGGCGTCAGTCACCTTCTGGCTGGTGGTGAAGCGCGTCTCCTGCACCAGGATGACGTCGTCGCCTCCTCCATCGTCCTGGATCCGCTCCAGCTCCACCTGCGTCGCTGACCAGGTCGAGCCGTTCAGCGCGACGAAGCTGGCTCGCTTCGCTCCCGCAGGCCTGATCAGCTTGGCCAGCTGAAGGGGCTTGGCCTGCGGTCGCCCAGGCTGGGGCTGGGCCGCAGGCTTCGCGGCTGCCGCGGCGGCCGCGCGGCCGCCAGGCGGGCGGCTGCTCGCCGCCTTGGGGCTCCGAACCTCAGGGGGTCTCACGCCCTCGCCCGCAGCCTCGCCGACTTGAATTGGGTACCCACGATTCCTTATGGGCCCCTGGCTGGGCTGAGGACTGCCAGTCCTTCGGTCGGGCCCAGCCAAGTCCGCCGCAGCGCTTGGCTCTGTCCTGCTGCTGAGCGCCTCGAAGGCGTCGGCCTCCTCGTTGGCCGCCAGGTAGGCGTGCAGGCCGCCGCTCGGCGCCGCCGCCGCCTCGGAGCGGCTGGGCGCCGCCGCCTCCGCCTCCTCAGCCCCGGCCGGGGCGGGCGGCGCCGCGCTGTCGGGGCCGCCGCCTGGCAGCAGGGTGCTACCCGCGGGCCTGGCCACTGCCAGCAGCAGCGCCGGCAGCAGGTGGAGGGGCCGCCGCAGCGGCCTTCTGGTCGGCAGCGCGCTGGCGGGCCGCCTCGCCTGCCGCTCGGCTCTCCACGGCGGCCGCTGGGGGGAACCCAGCTCCTGGCGCAGCGCCCGCGGCGGGGGCGGCGGCGGCAGCAGGGGCGGCCGCCTGTCCTGCGGGCTGCGGCGGGGCCGCAGCGCCCTGCTCGGGGGTGCCAGCGGCCACGGCTGCTGCAGGCCCCTCCTCGGTGCGCTTGCGCTTCTTGGCCACCTCCTCCTCGATCTGGCGCTTGATGCGCTGCTGGTGCTCCTGGCAGTTGCGCTCGAACGTAGCCTGCGCGCCCTGCATGATCTGGAGCCCCTCATCGCAGAGGCGCCTGAGGGTGGCCTGCGCCTCCTCCTCCAGCTCCGCGAAGTTGTCGAACGACTCCGCGTCGAAGTTGAAGGTGAGCTGCCTCGCGCCGTCGGGCTGGGCGCCCACGACGCCAGCCGCCTGGGCTCGCTGGCGCAGGAGGGCGTTCTCCTCCTCCTTGGCCTCCGCGAGGTTGACCGCAGCCTCGTCGCGCCAGCCGCGGCACACAGCGAGGTGGTCCTCCGCCGCCACGAGCGCGTCCGCCGCCTCGTCGAGCTGGCGCTGGAGGTTGATCCGCTTCGCCGTGGCCGACTGCAGCCGCTGCTCGAGCGGCTTCGGCGCTGGGGCGACCGCGGGCGCGACGTAGCCCCGCGCGTCGCGGACCGCCTCCTGCAGCCTGGCCGCGATGGCGGGGTCCCCACAGGCGAGGAGCGCGTCGAGCTCGCTCTCGGGCGGGGTCGACCAGGGGGCCTTCGGGAAGGCGCCTCCGCCACAGCCGCCCGCGCCACCGCCGCCGCCGCCACGGGAGGCTGCACCGCGGCCCTTGCCGCCCTTGCCGCCCTTGGCGCCATCCTTCGGCGGGCCTCCGCCGCCGCCTCCACGATGTGCGAGTTGGGAGCCGCCGCCGCCGCCGTCCGCCCAGACCCCGCCACGGGGCGAAGGCTTCGCGGGCGCCAGCTCCAGCCCGATCCCGCACTGCCAGCACTTCGCGTTCTTGCGGAAGTTCCAGCGGTAGCGGCAGCCCGTGCACACGACGAAGCCAGGCTCGACCTTGGGCCCCATCGCTGGGTCGGGCGGGCGCGCTGCTCAGCCGCGGGCGTGCAGCAGGCAGGGGCCGACGGGGGCGGACCCACCGACCCAGAAGAAGTCGTGACCCGAAGGTCCTGGAGGGTGCTGCTCAGACAGCTCACACTTGTTGGAAAGGAAGGTGGCCTCAAAGCGGAACCTCCCTCGCGCTCAGAAGTCGCCCCGGAAGACTCGCGGTCGTCGGGACGGTTCATTGCCTTGAGCCAAAATGGCTACGGAACGAAGCCCCTTTTTATCCCAAGGAATAACGCATAAGGAACGATAAATAACAAATGACGCATAAGGAACTGTAAATAACGCATGCAAGCCGAAGGAACGACAGAGCCCTTTTGAAAAGTAAGTGTTCCTTATTCAAGCCGCTCACTGTAAGCCCGAGAAACATCCTTCAAGAAGAACAGCATTCCAGAACGTGGGATTCTCCGCCGGCCAAAGTGAGGAACATTCGAGGGAGCCCTCCCCCAAGATGCACAAGAACATCCAACAACACACGACGAACATTAGGGAGCCCTCCCCGAACCGACTTCGATCTTACACCTCGGTCCGACCGGAGTACACGCGAGAGGACACACGACCCTTCCGAGGGCCGCATTGCCACAGGAATGTGGAAGGCATGGGCCGCGAGACACAGGCCACAGCTACTCAGCAAGCTCGACTGTAAACAGTCTTTCGCCACGCCAGGGAGGGCAAGCACAGGAAACGACGTCCCGCTGCAACTGGGGCGCCACAGGTCCGAATAACTGCCATGGAGTCTCGCATGGACCAGCCGAACAATGGCGCGAGGTTGAACGGGGGAACTCTGATTGCGCTTCTCCCGAGGCCTCTCTGGTAGCTGTTCCTGTTCTCGGAGCGTAGGAACGCGTACTTGAGACCCCCGAGTCCCCGAGTGCACGCCCGACGACGCGGACAAGAAGTGGATGGGCTGCTCTGGGCTCGAACCACCCCGAACTTCCGACGGATTTCCATTTTTGAGCCCGCGGGCCTCAGGGGTCTCGACCCCTCCCTGGAGGCGCGTTCTGTTTTGCTATCTCGGAGGTCACGGCTGTGCCTAGTGCACGCACGTACAAGGCCAAGCATCCATAGGGACGCGTAGGCGGAAAAGAGGTGCATAGTTTCAACTCTACGAGCAGAGTGGCTGGGAAAACGCACGTGGAGTGTACAATGGCGTGGAAAAACGAAGGAGACCTGGGCCTCTGATGGCCCTGGGGACCGAGACCGGCCCTCTGAGGCCGACATCGTGAGACGGCCTCCGTCTGGACGTGTGCACTGACGCTGGACGTCTGGGCCCTCACCCTTTGAAACTCGGCGGTCCAAAAACATCTCGCGCGGTGCGCCTCGGCCAGAGAGTCGCGAGGGGTAGCCAAAAGCCGTTGCGACGTGGAGCATCCTGGAGACTCCACAAAAGACCCACGTCCCCACCGAAGTCAAACGCAACTTTTCCGGCAACGTGGCGGCGCCCCAGGACCCAAAAAGTTCAATGTTCGCGCCGAAATTGGCGACTGCAAAAACAAAGCATCTGGCCTCGTGGGCCGCGTTTCGCGCGTCGACCACTATCAAAAACTTGCGTCTGATTTCGAGGGGATGCTTGCAGGGCGCTTTCAAGTCGGGCATGTCACCCTACAGGGGGATTTTGGACGAGCAATCAAGCAATGCCAAAACATAACCCCCAAATGCCACTATTTGTTTGGACAGTGTTCGAACATTCCTCCCGCAGAGGGACGGACCCGACTCAAGGGCACTTCGAGGCCTGGACCCTCGATGCCGAAGGGCCAAGGCGCCCTCGCCGCCGTCGGGTCCTGAGCGCTTCTCCCGGAGCTGCCGCCCCGCCTCCTCACGGGCGCACCAGGGCCATCCATCCCTCGGGGATCCCCCAAAAACCGTGTGGTGACAGCCCGTGCGGTGACCTCAGCATCACGAGAGACCTCACCGCACGGTCCGTCACCGGACGGTCCTGGGACTCTGGAGGCCCCTGTCGCCCGAGACGTCCTCGGAGAGAGGCTCGAGTCCCGAAACCGTGCGGTGACCCCGCATCCCCACCGACTCACCACACGGTGTGGTCACCAACCCGTTTGGGGGCCCCCGATTGCCATCGCTCGGACGTCCACTCCCCAGATCATTTGTAGGCTTTGCGCCGCGTTGATGTTTCGCATCTTTTGGCGTTCTGCGCGGAGTTCTTGGACCCGCGAGGGTGGCCGCGAGGCCCGTCGGGGACGGGCCGAAACTGGGCAGGGGACGCCATGGCGTGGGTGGGGTGGGTCCGCGGTGTAGCCCACCTGGACTCCTTGCTGAGCGGGCGGCGACTGCGGCAGGAGAAGATGGAGACGGAGACGAGAGAGCAGCCATACAGTCGGGCTGCTGCAAGAAGGAACGTTAAATTTCGAAAGAAGCCCCTTCTTGGCTCTGTGAGCGCCTCCGTGCCCCAGGAGGGCAAGAGGAACAACACTGGAAGAACCTTCGGAGCATCGAGCCCCTTTCCGAACCCAAACTGTTTCTTCTTTCAGCGTCTTGGCTGTATGGCTGCTCGCTCCGAAGCGGCCCTCTCGTCGAAGGCGTCTCGGGAGGACGAGGAGGGGGAGGAGGGAGAGACGGCGCTGAGGGCCGAGCCAATTGGTGTACTCCACGAAGGCCTTTTGCTCGGCGTCGCCCTCGGACGCCACCTAAGAGAACCGTCAACACACAAGGCAAGACGCATTCTTCTTCTTCTTCTTCTTCTTCTTCCTTTGCTTCTCTCTCCGCCCTCCCTCTCCTCCCCCTCCTCCTCCTCTTCCTCCTCCTCCTCCTCCTTCTCCTCCTCCTCCTCCACCTTCTCCTCTCTCTCCTCCCTCCTCCCTCCTCTTCCTCCTCCTCCTCCTGCTCCTCTGCTCCTTCTCCTCCTCCTCCGCTTTCTCCTCCTGCTCCTCTGCGCCTTCCTCCACAGGGTTCTCATTCTCATGTCAACAACGTCGACATGGCTGGACCCGCCATCGGCCCACTGACAGGTTGAGGCGTCCGCGAGCTCCCTCCTACCCCTCTCCCCTCCTGGAGCGCGTTTCGGGTACTGGCCATCGCTTGGACGTTCATTCCCTGTGCTTTTTTCGGTTTCGTGCGTGTTTGTTTCGCCAAATGATGGGGGATGCTCCTCGATGGTCCTCGCCGAAGGAAAAATGCACACGTCCGAGCGATGCCAAGGGTATGGGTAGCAAGCTATCTCCTGGTCCTCCACCAGATCTCTCAGGAGGCCTCTTCCACGGGAAAAGGAAACCTCCCGTAGACTAAAGTCGGGCGTGTCCCCCTACAGGCTGATTTGCGACGAGAAAAAACACCCCAACGCTACTCAAAAGATGCCCAACCATACTCAAAAAATAGTCCCCAGACAATGTTTTTTTACTATTTTTGAAATGTTTCCCCTGTAGAGGGACAGGCCCGACTTAACCGCATACCTCCCCTGGTCCTCCACCAGCCTTCCCGAGGGGGGCCTCCGCCCCGAGACAAGGGGGGCCTCCCGGAGACCTCCCCTGGCCCCCCGAGCAATCCAGGAGGACGAGGACCAGGGGAGACGTCCGGGAGGCCTCCCCCGGCCCTCCCCGAAGTTTCCGAGGAGGCCTCCCCTGGTCCTCTGGGCGGTCTCCCAAGTGTCTCGGAGGCTGGAACAGCAGACAAGGCCCCTCGAGCGAGCAGGCGAGGCCGCCCGGAGGCCTCCCCTGTTCCTCCACCGTGGCTTCCGATCTCCCGGAGGAACAGGGGAGACCTCTGAGATGCCTCACCTCCTGCTCAGAGAGGTCGCAGCACGAGCGGCCTCCTGGGAGACCTCCAGGAGGACCAGGGGAGACATCCTCGGAGACCTCCGGGAGGACCCGGGGAGGCCTCCCGGGACACCTTCCCGAAGTCCAGGGGAGATCTCTCGGGAGTCGTACTCCCTCCTCCTCCTCGCTCTCCTCCTCTCCCTCCCTGCTCCTGCTCCTGCTCCTCCTCCTCCTCCTCCTCCTCCTCCTCCTGCTCCGTCTCCTCCTACGTTTGTTCCTCTTCCTCTCTCCTCCTCCTCCTCCTCCTCCTCCCTCCTCCTCCTCCTCCTCCTCCTCCTCCTCCTCCTCTCCCTCTTCCTTCTTCTCCTCCTGCAGCTCCTCCTGCAGCTCCTCCTCCTCTCCTCCTCCTCCTCATCTTTCGCCCTCCGCACCTCCTCCTTCACCTCCTCCCCCTCCACCGCCTCCTCCTCAGTATCTTCAAGTTTCCTCTTCCTATGTCCTTGTCCTGCTCCGTCTCCTCGTCCACCTCGTCCTCCTCGTTTTCCCCGTCCTCCTCCTCGTCCTCCTCCCCCGCCTCCTCTTTCTCCTCCTACTCCTGTGCGCCTCCCTCCACGGTGTTCGCATTCTCTCGTCCTCCCCACCTCCTCCTCCTCTCCTCCAACTTCTCCTCGTCCTCCTCCTCCTCCTCCCTCCTCCTCCTTCCTCTTCCTCCTTCTCTTCCTCCTCCTCCTCCGCCTCCCCCTCCTCCTCCTCCTCCTCCTCCTCCTCCTCCTCCTCCTCTTCGTCCTTCTACTCCTCCTCGTCCGCCTTCTCCTCCTCATCCTTCTCCTCCTTCTCCTCCTCTTCCTCCTCCTTACCTCCTACATCTCCTCCTCCTTCTTACCTCCTACATCTCCTCCTCCTGCTTCTCCTCCTCCTTCTCCTCCTCCTCCCTTTCCTCCGCCCTCTCCTCCTCCTCCTCCTCCTCCTCCTCCTCCTCCTCCTCCTCCTCCTCCTCCTCATGGCGATGGGCCGGAGGAGTGGGAAGAGGATGTTAAAAGGTAAAAGCACTTCGGGGGCAGGTCTGAAAACAGCAGCAGCAGCAGCAGCAGCAGCAGCAGCAGCAACAGCAGCAGCAGCAGCAGCGGCAGCAGCAGCAGCAGCAGCAGCTGCAGCTTGCGACACTTCAGGTCCCTGCAAGGTGATCTAGATGTAGGGCCTCAGCTTCGCGCCAGAGGCCTGCCGGGGGCGCCCTTAGGGAGATACAGCGAAGATGGCCCCGTGGAGGAAGCCGACTGCCATGACGTGGGGGTCGGGTCGGGCTGGCGGGACATAAAAAAAGATGCATCATTGAGTTGGCACGCGTGTACCCTAACGGACGGGTCGGGCGGGCGGGCGGGTCGGGTCAGGCGGGAAGACCCCAGTGGGCGGGTCGGGTCGGGCAGGCGGGACATTCAAGCAGGATGCATCGTCGAGTTGGCACGCGCGTGCACTCACGGGCGGGGCGGGTCGGCCAGGCGGGCCGGGCCAGGGGGGCGAACCCTGGCGGGCCAGGTCGGGCGGGCAGGACAATTCAGTGTGCGCCACCGAGACGGCACGCGCGTGCCCCAACGGGCGGGTCGGGTCCAGCGAGGCTTCGCTTCGCTGCCGCGCCGCCTTGCGGCCGACTCGTGCGCTTTGGGGGGGTTTGGCGAGGCTTCGCCAGGCTGCCGCCCGTGGCCGCACCTCGTGGCCGCCTCGTCGTGGGCGGGGCGGGTCCGGCGAGGTCTCGCTACGCTGCCGCCCGTTGCCGCTTCGATGCCGCATCCAGCTTGCACCACGTGAACTGGTCCACACAGCTTACGACAGGTTCGTGTCGTGCCGACCCCAGCGTTGGTTTTTGACACCGCAGGGATCGTTCAACCTTGAACGATCGGCCGCTGCCGCAACGTCCGATCGTTCAACGTCGATCGATTCTGGGTCGCCAGCGGCGTTCAACCTTGAACGCCCACGCTGGGGTCGCCGCTGGTCGACACGACGCAAACCTACCGTAGACCACATAGCTTGTACCACATAGCTCGCAGGTCGTCAGTGTCATAACTCACTGTTTAGGGTCCGCGCTGGCCAACAGAGACGTATGTCGGTACATCGACTTCACTCTCTCTTTCTGTCTTGCCCCTCCTCCCGCCCCCAGCTTTCTTTTCCTTTCTCTTTCTCGGTGTCGATTGATCGACGTGGTGCCGTGCGTCACCAGGCTACCGTGCCATGACTGTGGAACACGCCCCTGCCTCACTGCTGTCCAATCGGGCACACGTCTCTGACCCTGCTTTATAGGACGTTGCTCGTTCAACCGCTCTCACCCTCGATGCCACGCACTGGACCCTCCGTGCAATTAACACTCACCACGACTATCAAAATCAGGACGCCCGATCTGACTCTGAGGCTGGAGCCTTGGCATACAATGAATCGAGCAACTCCACCACCTTGCCCAATGGGTTCTGGCTATCAGCCGCTGCCTGGGCAGGGAGTCCGCCGGCCAGCAACACAGCCACGGCAGCCGTCACCTGGAAAGTCTTCATTGCGGAGCAAGAGGCTGCAACAACGGGGCGCTAGAATCTCGCGAGTACCCGGAGATCTCTTGAGCCTGCTGCCATTGTGCGGAGAAGGGGGATAACCAATGGAGGCCGCCCACATGAGGCTGGAGCAGCAGGCTGGCTCGAGAGACCTCACCGCATCGCCTGTGCATCGGCGCCGTGGAAGAGTCGGGCTCCGACTCGCGCCGCATCGCTGATGCATCGGGGATGCGGGAGATCCTCCGACACCATCCACCCCGGCTACTTTTGGGCGGCCTGGGCTGCCGCCGTCCGACGAATGACGGATGACAGGGGGGCAGGGGGGGAAGTGCCCCATACACTCCTTCGATCCTCGATCCTTGACTCAACCGCGCTGAGAAAAGGTCGACCCACGAGCCTCGACCTCTGAGCGACGATCGCAGAGGCGGCCTCGTCCCGGAGTGGGCACGGCAAGCCCGCCAAAAGACCCTGAACGAACGACGACCACGATTGCAACGACGACGACGACGACGGCGACCTCCTGGGCGAAGCGCGCGGGGGCGTCCACGGGCGGGCTTCGCAAAGGGGCTGTGCGCATAGGAGCATCCAACGACCATGGCGGGGACACAGAATCTGCACAAGCCTGTCCCGCTTACATCCTGCGTCTCACGTGTACACTACTTTCATAATGGGCACCTGCGAGCCTGCTTGCGAACATACTTGGCACGGGCTGCGTGCGCAGGCGAACGTTGGCACATTCAAAACGAATAAAGCCTCACAACGAGACACACATCCATGACGCTGTAATTTCGGTCATGCCATGGAGACCACCTTGGAACACATACAACATGTCCCGTTCCGTTCGTTGCCTTCCTCCTCTCCCCTCCCTCCCCGAACTCTCCTAGTCTACATCCTCGTGATACTCGAACCTCCCTCTCCTCCACTCTTGCCCCGTTGCGTACGCATGGCGATGGCATCCCCCAAGCAAGCGGAGTGATGGGGTTGATCTGGGTTTTTATGATGAACAGCCGACGTGGAAGCCCCTCCGACCAGGGTAAACTACGACCCCCCATCAGGGTGGGCGCGCAATCACAGTGCAACTTGTCTGGATCCCGCATATTCTCAGGCAACTCGCGATCTTACTTGTTGAGATGCAGGACGTCCAACGTACACCCTGAAGCCTTACGTTGAGGACGCTGTTTTCTTGCACTTCACGATGCAGCTTGTCTGGCAGATGTGGACGCGTCTTTCAAGCAGTTCACCCATTCCACAAGCCTTTTAGGGCGTGAGTGGTTTAGGGAGGTTTCTCTTCCAGCCTGGGACCAATGAGGGCATACCCCGCGCCACCCACGACACAAACATGTAAAGTCCACTTTGGGGCAACATCTGGGTCATGATCGGGGGGACCCCCGGCACTCGTGTTGTTTTTTGACTGGGACGGCGGGGGGGCGCTTATTGCCTGCTGCGCGCAGGACAAACATCCCAGTCAAAAAAATACCAACATCCACTTCGAGATAAAATCTGGATCATGCGCGGGCACCCCGCGATCACTGTGCATTGGTTTTGAATGGGACGTCGGGTGTGCTGGCATATTGCCTGCTATGTGCAGGTCCACCAGATGGTATGATGGCCACCCCGCCGCGATTGAGCACTAGTTTTCGACAAGGGTGGTGGGGGCCGACACGTTTCCCGATGTGTACTGCCACGTGCGCAGGCGCACCTGGCACACTCTGCGGGTACCCCAACGTGGCGCACTTGGCGCACCAGGCGTGCCTGGCACGCTTGGGCCACATGGGATACTTGGCGCACCTCGCCCAAGTGTTGCGCACATGGGGTCTGTTTTTGTTCTCGATAGCTGTCCATCCAACTACTACCGCTGAACACGTTGCGGCTTAGGTGCTACTTATGTGTTGGGAGGGCTGGTGGGAGTGAGCGAGAAGGCTTGCGGACGGGAAGGGTGTCTTGACCCCTCCGCCTACCCCCTCCCCTGGACCTGGACAGGGGGGGGGCGCGAGGGGTTTTGAGCGTCCAAGATGGCTTCGGCGAGAAGGCCAATATCACCGATGCTACTAAGGTTTTGGGGCACTTTTGGCCTCCTGAGGGGGCGACGGTAATGTAATACCCCCCCTTGTTTGAGCGATCTTCTCTAAGATGAGGGCCCAAAGAGCGCCCAGGGGGCTGCAAGAGGCCCCTAAGATGCCCCCGAGATCCCACGAGGCTCCCAAGAGACCCCCCAAAGGCCCGAAGAGAATCCCCGAAGCACCCAAGACGCTTCAAAAGGCCCCCGGGACCACCACGAAACCCCCAAGACGCCCCAACAGGCCTGCAAGAAGCTCGCAGGAGGCATCCGAAGAAACCCCGGGAAGCATTCAAGAGGCCTCTGGCCTTTCTGTTCGCCCTCCTCCTCTACCTTTCCCTCATCTGCCTGATCCTCCGCCCCCTCCTCCCTTTTACCTCTTCCCTCCTCCCTCCTCCCCCTCACCCTCCTCTTCGTTCTCGGTTCCTCTGTTCCTCACGGCATGAAAACCTTCCGACGTTGCCGCTTTCCTCCTCCTCCTCCTCCTCCTCTTCCTCCGCTTCCTCCTCTTCTGGTTCGTTCTCCTCCTCCTCTTCCTCCTCCTCCTCCTCCTCCTCCTCCTCCTCCTCCTCCTCTGCTTCCTCCTGTGCTCCTCGCCGTGCCCGTTTCATCCCCGAGCTGGTGGAGATAATGATCAGGGGACTGGGAGGGCATCGACGATGGGGGGCCCTGGCAGGAGCTCGAAAGCACCAAGCGAAGACGTCCGCGGAGGCCGTGGCCGGCGCGGAGGCTCAGGGTGATGTTGTTCCCATCGTACTTAAGGGCCACATCCCCAAAATAATCCCACCAGCCCTCTGGGCGTAGGTGGTTTAAGGCGTTTCCTCTTCCACCCCTCCCCCTTCCCTTTCGGGGAGGGGTTTTCCCTACCTAGCCAGCCGATGGCAAACCCGCCACAAAAACCAACACAAACTCAATTTTCTTTTCGCCGACATGTCGTCGAATTGCGACAAGTGTAGCAGGATTCTCACGGAATGAACATCGCTTGGGTCACCCTAGGCGGGTGGTCGCGCCCTACCTATCAAAAAAACCATACATTGTCAATGCTTTTTCGTCAACGTGGACTTGCTTGTCGTCGACGCTGCGAAAAGTGTAGCAGCAATGGGACGCGGCGCACATCGCGCGCGGACGCCTGGCCAACCCTACGCGGGACCCCCCCGTCCCACCTGTCAAAAAACACTGCAGCGTCTACGTTTTTCTTGCCAACCTGTACTTTTTACCTAACATCGAAGACTGATAGGTTTCTAGTAGTGTCAAAAGAGGTCACAGATCACTCCACAGGGGGGTCCGGGCAGGTGTTGGGACTTGCCGGGCGGGCCTGTGCCGAACTCGTTTTTCACCAACAGTCACACACTTCGTGCTCTTCGACTTCCCAGAACTCCATTCCCAGGCTCATTCTGAATAACCGGATGCAACAGTCACACACTTCGTGCTCTTCGAGATCCCAGAATGCCATTCCCGGGCTACATTCTGGAGGGCCGGATGCAACAGTCACACACTTCGTGCTCTTCGAGTTCCCAGAACTCCATTCCCGGGCCACATTCTGGAGGGCCGGATGCAACAGTCACACACTTCGTGCTCTTCGAGTTCCCCGAATTCCATTCCCGGGCCACATTTTGGATGCCCGGAGCCAACTGTAGGCCACTTCGTGCTCTTCGAGTTCCCAGAACTCCATTCCCGGGCCACATTTTGAATGCCCGGAGGAACTGTAGGCCAGGAGGAGGAGGAGGAGGAGGAGGAGGAGGAGTTACGGAGGAGGAGTTACGGAGTATATTGCGACTGTGTCGGTTACGATGACGATTAAAGAGAACGAGCCGCTCTTCTGGCCTTGCCAGCTTTGCTATAAGCTTTAGGCCAGATCCCCCGTTCAATATTCTTTAAATAATCAGCACGATTACCTGTGGCTCTGCCGTCGCACTTCTTTCCGAGTTGGGCCAACTGTTGGGCCGCAAAACTTCCACAAGTGCCACAGAACCAAATCCCCAGCCCAGCGTGAAACTGTAAAGTGTGACTGTCGTCAGCCCACCCCCCACAGATGTGCACCCTGCAACGGGGGGGCGGTCTGAGCAAAACGCCATCTATAGCCCTCAGGTCAAAGCATGGGGTTTCCAACCAAAACTTGCGCATACCTTTAGTGGTGGAGCTCCTACACTTCAAACAAGATAGACCGTTTTCAAACAGCGTATGCAGGGTCGAAAACTCTTTACAAACCAGAGGCGCTGGTGGCCTGGGCCCTGGATTCCTGACACGGGTTCCTCGGGGCTCTTCGGCCGCCAGGGCGGCCTCGGCTTTTAAAGTCTCGACTGTGGCCAGTAAAATACGCATGCGGACGGCGAAAGCCATCTTCTCATTCAGGAAAACTTTCGATCTATCAGAGGCTGGGATGCGTACTAAACGAGCCGCTGCCTCGGCCAACTTGTCAGCCGCTGCATTACCTACCGTCAAATACAGAGGTGCTTTACCCTGGAGTACATCTCGGGCCTCCTGGTGGGAGTGAACAAAAAGGACCGTGCAAGATAAGGTCGGTTTTCGTCTGAGCACCTGACCTACTTGATACCAAAGGTCCGCGTTCTCCCCCTCTGGGGCGAAGGCCCGCCCGCAATGCCATCCTGAGCACACACTGGAATTATCTGTGGTATAGAGCGTGACACCATCAGCTCCGATCAGCGCTGACAAGAAACTGAAAAGTTCACCCCTGGCAACTGTCTGGACGGGACCTGGGAGGCCACCCCAAACTGAAGCAACAAGCTGCATATTATCTGGGATGTCAGAATACTGTGCAATTCCACATCCTACTCTGCGGAGCCTGGGATCGGAAGTATCTTCGCCCCCGCTCGCGTCCCCGAAAAGGCACAGGGGGGCCAACGGGGAGCCCACGCCGAAGCAGTTATCTTCGAAAACCTCGACTCCCTCAGACCACCAATCTGCCTCCTCTTGTGGGGGCGGGACGGCTACCCAGGACTGCGGCAGCAAACCTCGGTGCCAGAAACACGGTTCAACTTCATACTGTGAATGTGCTCTGGGTGCATATTCGTCTGACACACGATATATATCATGATCTACACACTTAGAACAGCTCCAAATGCGGTGGAAAGAGGTCTCCCGCTCTGCTCGACACCGTGCGCAAATCTGGGATATCGGCAACTTGGATTTCTCTGACCTGCGCTCCCGTGGCCATGCTGCTCCCGCTGCTGCCGACAGGAGTAGCCCAGCCAGCTGCTTGCCGTTGGGCCCCTCCTCG